CGGAGCTTGGCTGCCCAACCTGCTTCCCTAAGTAGGTGAGCAGTAGCCTTTCCCAAACTCACATTTGGCAGATTCAGGTAAGAGATGCACATGCAGATATGGGTGCGGTATTCACCCAACCTCCGCACAAGCTGCTCTACACGCCTTGAATGCTGGCCAAATGTAGTTTGGAAAGCTAACTGTCAGCCTAACTAGGGAACAGCGTGGGCCAAGGCCAAGTCGCGACCCAAGTGAAGCTAAGGTTGGGTGCGTGCTGAATGTGCGGTGCCGCAGCCAGGAAGTGACGCTTCCACGCGTTTTTCTCGGCCATGGCAGGTAGCTACCGGCACGTTTCTGCGCGGGGGCAACTTTTCGCACCTGTAGCCCAACCCGCTAAAACTAATTTGATAAGTCCCAAGGTGGACACGCGTTTGGACCCCTGGGTTGCCAACATGCATTTGAGTGCGTAAAAACACTCTTTAATGTTTCACGCTCCTGTGCTACGCTGGGCTCCCGATCTTGCTAAGTCTTATTTGCTCCCGCATGTCAATCACAACCAGCGTCTCATGGGCGGTGGGCTCTGATCGTCAGCACTGACTGACAACCTGGCCTACACACTGAAAGGGGTTCAGAGAACGTGTTGCAGATGCCTGTCGCAGACTGTCAGAGACTGCTGTATACCTGTGCTCGTTATGTTGAGGCTGTGTGTCATGGCTGCATCGAAACACCCTGGGGCTTGCAGGTGTTCAAGCTGCCTGAACACCTGGCTCTGAGGGTGTTACAGACGCTGCTGACACCTGTCACATGGGGTCGAGCTAATCCTGATGTGTGTGTGGTGTGTGTGTGTGCGTGTGAAACACCTGTGTGTCTGAGTGTGTGCTCACACTGCATGAGGCTGCGGCAGTTCCTCCCGGCCGTCCCGCCGCTCGGCAACATCTGCTCGAAGAGGTGATCACCTGGCATGAGACGTCATACATTCCCGCCCCCATTGCCTGAGGTCAGATCTCCCTGAACAGCTGAGTCTGAAGGGTCTGCTGCACTGTACATGGCTCTGAGGTCTGGCTGGCTCTGAACTGTTGGCATACACAACGTGACCTCAAGTCTTGTGATACCTGCTCACTGATGCGTCAGAGCTGTCTGACATGTCGCTCATTGAGTCAGCTGCTGCCTGTAACTAGCTCACCACTGAGATCAGCAGAGTGCAAGATAATCCCTGTTGTGAATTCCTATTGACAGTAATCTTATGTGCTATTATAATAGTAATGATCTAGTTCCAGCAGCTGACATAAGCATCTGTTATGCGTTTCCTTCCAACAGCGACTGCACTAACAGGCTTGCAGCAAGTTTGACGTTAAGTGTTGACAGACGTTTTAAATCCCTATGTATGTATTTACCATCTTTGTACTCATGTGTATAGGCGAGAGGTATGTTTCTTATAATAACTCAATCTATTCTTATTGAGTACCAACCCTTCGATGATAAGGATGGTTAGACCCTCTTTTCATGTCTTTGGTAATCATTCGGTAGTGCATATTTGCCTGTCCATTATGGTATTATGACATCAGTATCCCGTGTATTAACACTTTGTGGCATACCAACTATATAATTGTCCTAAACCATAACTCTGGTCGTGTTGTCTCAGTTGTGGTATCAATCCTAAATGAGCCTCGCTAGAGCAGCGGTCGGAACCTATGGCTCCGCGAGTATGACGCCATATATGGCTCTTCCGGTGATGGCAATATGGCTCCCAGACATTTTGAGTTGAAAAAAAAAAAAAAATATCAGTTTGGAACTGATTTAAAATACTTGTGATATTTCTCATAATATACTTGTATTTTAAAGTAAACAGAAATTAGTTTTGAAGATACATTTCACGGGTCACCCGTGGGTCGGGTCGGGAACCAATGGCTCGCGAGCATGTCCGGGTCATTGTAAAGGTGAAGAAATCAATTTTATCAGATAGCCAACTACTTTATCCGCTTCAACCCTTCTAACGGAAAAGATGTGAAAAGAAAAAAAGACGATGATTACCGTGCATTCCAGGCTGCGTGGACAGAGGAATTTGCATTTGTGGAGAGAGCAGGATCTGCGGTATGTCTAATATGCAATGATAAAATTGCATCGATGAAACGGTCAAATATAAAGCGGCACTTCGATACGCACGTCACACCATGCTTCATTTGCATCGAAATATCCAGCGGGGGACAGCAGGAAAAGGGCATGTGAGGAGCTACAGCGGAGAGTGCAGACGAGTCAGCAGCAACTACGTGTGTGGACCAAGCAAGGTGACGGGAATTCTGCTAGCTTTGCGGGTGCTTTGGCAATAGTAAGGAATGGAAAGCCATTCACAGATGGCGAGTATGCCAAAACATTCATGCTTTATGTGACCAATTAACTGTTTGATGACTTCCCAAATAAAGACAAGATAATCAAACGAATAAAAGACATGCCCCTGTCAGCAAGAACTGTGCACGATCGTAGCATCATGATGGCAAATCAAGCCGAGGAAACACAAATTAAGGACATAAACGCCGGGACATACTTTTCTCTCGCGTTAGATGAGTCAACAGACGTTAGCCATCTATCTCAGTGCAGTATAATTGCCAGGTATGCTGCAGGTGACACACTGCGTGAGGAAAGCTTGGCTGTTTTGCCAATGAAAGGGACAACAAGAGGAGAGGATTTATTCCCGTCTTTTATGGAGTCTGCTAAAGAAAAAAAAATACCGATGGATAAACTTATTTCTGTCTGTACTGATGGTGCACCCTGTATGTTGGGGAAGAACAAAGGATTTGTAGCGCTTCTCCGTGAACATGAAAAGAGAGCCATCCTAAGTTTTCATTGCATCCTGCACCAGGAGGCGCTTTGCGCTCAGACGTGTGGCCAGGAGCTTGGTGAGGTGATGTCGCTGGTCATTCGAGTGTTCAACTTCATTGTTGCCCGAGCTTTAAATGATCGCCAGTTTAAAGCTCTGTTAGAAGAAGTTGGGAATCATTATCCCGGTCTGCTTTTACACAGCAACGTGCGTTGGTTGTCAAGGGGGAAGGTGCCGTTTTGCAGCTTGCCTGAGTGAAATCCGGACTTTTCTTGAAATGAAAGGCGTCAAGCATCATGAGCTAGACAACACTGACTGGCTCCTGCAGTTTCACTATCTCGTGGACATAACTGGCCTTCTGAACCAGCTCAATGTGAAAATGCAAGGTATTGGAAATACAATCTCATCCCTTCAACAAGCAGTGTTTTTTGAAAGCAAGCTGGAAGTCATTCACAGATGGCGAGTATGCCAAAACATTCATGCTTGATGTGGCCAATTAACTGTTTGAAACACTTTGAAAGACTGCAACAATTTAGAGATGCATGCCTAGCAAGTGACTCCACTCAACATCTGGATCTCCAGCAGCTAGCTGGCTTTACGTCCAATCTCCTGCAGTCATTCAAAGCACGTTTTGGAGAATTTCGTGCGCGCACTGGTCTTTTCAAGTTCATCACTCATCCACATGAGTGTGCAGTGGACAAAATCGACCTGACATGCATCCCCGGGGTCTCTATCGGAGACTTTGAGCTGGAAGTTGCTGACCTGAAGGCATCAGACATGTGGATGAGTAAGTTCAAGTCACTTAATGGAGAGTTGGATAGTCTTGCGCGACAGCGAGCAGAGCTGGCGAGGGAACACAAGTGGACAGAAATGAAAAATCTTCAACCTGAAGACCAGCTGATTCTTAAAACTTGGAACGAGCTTCCTGTGACATACCACACAATGCAGCGTGTGAGTATTGCCGTATTGACCATGTTTGGCTCTTCATATGCATGTGAGCAGTCATTCTCGCATATGAGGAACATTAAGACCAACCTACGCTCACGTTTAACTGATGGAAGCCTCAACGCCTGCATGAAGCTCAACCTCACCACGTATGAACCAGACTACAAGGCCATCAGCAAAACCATGCAGCACCAGATGTCGCATTAAAAGTAAGACATATTTAATTTATTATACGTTAAAAATACTATATGGCTCTCAATGAAATATATTTAGAAATATTTGGCTTTTATGGCTCTCCCAGTCAAAAAGGTTCCTGACCCCTGCGCTAGAGTGAGGGGGGCCCCCAAGCCAAAGCTCGCTTAGGGCCCCCAAAAGTCTAGGGCCGGCCCTGCTTCCCTCTATTCCTTTTTTAATGTTTTCAAATATGATATTTTACATTACATGTTAGACGCTTTTATCCAAAGAAACTTGCATACTCAATACTGTGGGCAATCCCCACAGGAGCAATTTGGGGTGAAGTGTCTTGCCCAGGGACACAACGACATGCTGACTGCTGTGGGGTTTGAACCTGTGACCCCCTGATCCGAACACCAACACACAGGGCCAACAACTGTCACTGCTTCCCTCTATTCCACCAGCTTGTAATGCAAGATACAAACATGCCATTTAAAATAAAGTATGATGCTTCAAAAAATATGTATCTTACTTTCGGTTGGCAAATTATTTTCCTTGACCATTACAGTTTAAGGTATTTTCTTCACAATTCACATTCATAATATACAGATAAAACATATTATGGATTATGGGCAAGAGGGGTTTGTACAACATTTGTTATGAATCAATCTGCAAGATTGATTTATTATATGAATCAATGTGCAGCACAATAATCTGCTACATATTCTCAAAATATTTTCCAGTTGTATATTTGAGCATTTTCAAAATATGTCATACCGGGCTATGGATACTTTTTTACCAAGGCAAGGACCACCTTGGCCAGGGCTCTTATAGTTTTATTTATTTATAGCCTACAGACACAAACACACACAAATCATGTTGCTTAAAGTATTTCATGTAAATCCAATTGTATGTAGTATACAATCATCATTTCAATACAGGTAATACTTTTCATTATCAGCATAAAACAATATAAGCCTACACTCAAAAAATCTGGCATATGACACATGAATATAACACACAAATTAAAACTGCTAAATTAACTAAGTCATTCGATTTTTTTGTACCTTGGTCATATTTTTTACAGAATGCTACAGGTGTCATTTCTTATATGGCCTTGAGATAATATTATAGTAGGAGGTATGTAAAGAAACAATACAAAACAATATTTAAACAGTACAGAATATGCTTTAGAAAACAGACAAAGTTGGGCCATTTGTACAAGGAGGGATGTGACTATTAGCTATAAACAAAGTTATTTAGCAGAGAAAGAGAAATGTTATTTGTGGTTGCTTTATATTCTCGATAGATATACCGTAGTTGCTCTTTCTAATGTTAACATAAACATAGCACAACTCTTTGATCAGTTTACCCACTGGGATGTATCAGGGGCTGAGATTAAGCAGTAAGCCATTTAAAAGCTTTCCTCATTGTGTTCATTAGAAGTTCTGCAGTTCAGCTGGGTAGACAAAGTTGCTCCTGAAGAGTTTATAGGCTGTGAGCTGTCCTGCAAATATCATCATCACCAGGCCTAAACCTGCACGAAGAGGGATTACATAAATTAGAAAAAGAGATCAATCAGAGGTATCTATGGCGGCCAGCAGCTGTCTTTAAAAAGAAGAAGAAGAAAGTGGTAACCTTACCCAGAGCTATCCACCAGTGCTCAGCTGAAGGGAAGTCTGACATCACTGCGGGAACATAGAAACTGTGTTAAATGTAAAAAAAACATACTACACATTATCCGTATACAGTAGCTACAGGTGAACACATGATACAAGTTCAGCTATTTTTGCTCTATTAAGTTCAGCATTTTTAAAAGTCAATATTCTGCTAGACATCTTTCAATGTTGGCTAAATAGCTCTCAGAAATATATGCTGTTACTGTATCTCTTAGACACTAATGGATAGGGCCTGTGTGAGTGCCAATACATTTCTGAAGCACTGACACCATTTCCAGTTACATTACCAGGCCCCCAATCCTATCAGCTGTTTTTGCGTGTGTGTGTGTGTGTGTGTGTGTGTGTGTGTGTGTGTGTGTGTGTGTGTGTGTGTGTGTGTGTGTGTGTGTGTGTTATTACCTGCTACCGTCATCGCGACATGCAGCAGTGTGACAGTTATGGCATAATCCCAAACCCACTCCTCTACAATCCATGCGAATACCAGGCCTCCCAAAATATAGGTCACTTCTGTGGAGATAACACCGACTGCAGGGAGGAAGAGAGAAAACAACACATGCCGTTTTGAATTTCTAATCTGCTTTAGAATCACCCATTGTTATAGCACAGGTTTTACTAATCAACATTTTCCATTAATAATGGCTCTCGTCTTTTGAAAGTTCCCCGGTGAGCCAGCATGAAATATACCAGGACCGATGAATAGTGACCCTTTGTCTGGTGCAAGTTAGGTAAGAAGAAAAATGGGATGCAGAGACAGTGACCCACAGCCAAAAGGCATTTCAATTCATATTAATTTTGGCCCATGGCCCACCTTTAAGTTTTAATTTTGGCTCACTAAGGGAGAAAGTGTATGCTTCATATTTCCTAGCTAATAACATTATCCATATTTAAACCATTAATATCCCTTACAAGCTTTTAGGCCGCTTTTCAATGTCTGTAGATACAGTATAATCCTACAGGGAACCTCAGCCTTATATGTAGAAGTAAAAAGTAGTATAACATTTAAATACTAAATAAAGTAGCACCTTTAAAATAGAAGTACTGGAGTGAACCTACATTGCACCAATGCTACTCACCGAGGTATTTGGGGCTCTGCCATGACGGTTGTGTTGTGTAGTCAAAGGGAGCCAACAAGCTGTTGATCTCATGAACCCTGGAGACACAGCAGGAGATGATAAACATGCAAAATCCACTTTGGTTCTTATTCATTCTGTTTGAAATGTACTTTCTCTTAGGAGCAAAAGGCCAAGGCTTCACTATGAGTTGCAGTTTGTGTACCTGAGCAGTCCTATGCAGAGACTGACCACGACGTAGTAGAGAGAGTAGAAGCACACCATGCACATCAACAGATTCTGCAGGACGACCTGAGGAGAAGGAGAAAGATTTGTCCTGTTGGGCTGGGGCTTTCAATATCACATGAAACCGGCTTTGTTTTTTAAAGCAGCAGGATCCCTGTAGTTTAAAGATTTTGAGGGTGAGGAACGGATAGTGTCTTTTAAGTATCTTTCAATTATTGATATTGAAAAATACTATTTACTGGTTCTTTCTGCGACCATCTTTACATATTTTTATAATATTTCCCGCATTTGACAGCTAAAAAAGCGAGAGCCTTTAATCAATGGGTGGGAGAAATTCAATGTCCTATATCAACCATCCACAGATGCTTTCTTCAAATAAACAAGGTAACAACAGAGAAAACAAGACTATAAGAAAATACCTGGACATTATGTCAGGGATTTTAATTTGACAAGAAAGCTCTATATTTGGAGATGTTTACTTTAACATCGTTATTTTGTGCATTCTGTGTCTCCCAAAGCTATACAAATCCCTTTTCCCTTTTTCCCTTCATAGCTGATGAGAGTACAGTCAGACAGCAGCCTGCCTGCTAAAGCCTAGTTTTATTGATTTATGATTAACTGCAGCCTCTACAGGAAATATGCTACAGGACCTCCTGAGAGGAGAGATAAAAGACCTTTTCCTCCCAGCTGACATTCCTGCTGTCAAACACAGGTGTAAATGATCAGATTATTAACGATAATCTCTGGCACCTGGTTAATGAAGTGGAGTCATCGTAATTAATCTGATTAGTTACACCTGTGCCAAAGCAAACAACGATGAAGAGCGCTGATAAGATTAATAACTTTCACTACATTGAGTTGTGTGATTACCCTACGGATTAAACTGTCAGCTACTTTTTATTGAATTATTAATCCTTCAGTCTATAAAATGACCAAAAAAAAGGGAAAGACCAAGGACCTTTTTCTTTCCCCTCTCTAAATTGTTCCCATTTCCACACAATGCAACCACTTGTAAAACTCAAATTATACTCCCGATATTGTCATTTCTTAAATGTTTCATATTTTTGGTATATAAATGTTTGTTGTAAAATTCATTTATTTCATAAATGGCTGTAATATCCTAATAAAGGTCCAAAGCACAAAGACATTCCATTTACAGTCTAGCCCTATAAAACAAAAAAACAGCTGCATATCCTCGTGCCTTTGTGGATGTATACATATGACATTTATGATATATATGTTCCAGAAGGTGAATCCTGCCTTCCTGTAGAGCTTCATGTCTGCAACAAAAAGCTGCCATTGCAATGTTTCAGTCCGCAGTGTGCCTGGCCCGGAGCGTGAGACAGTAACAAGTTCAACAAGCACAGAGGATCATTCTTATATCTATTAGTGGACATCTAATTTATGGGGCTATCGTGCGTTAAAGGTGAGGTGAATCTAATCCAACACCTATACACTATTCCAGCATGAACGTATAAAAAGAAATGGAGTGGGAGGGTAAATCTGGAGGGATTATTTGTGAGGTGTTGAGTTCGCATATCCACAATATGTCTCTCTAATTGCAGACTCCACTTTTAACTGTGTAAGGTTCATCCTCCTCTTTGCTTCCCCCTAATTTACTCCATGTTACCTCCATATTAAAAATTAGCAGCAGTGAGAAGTGGAATGGGATAAAAGAGCATGCAAATGTATTAGGATAATTCCAGTGAGTGTCGTGACACTGTAAGAGTAATTTAACCGTGTCCCACATTTCATTTTCTGACCCACCTAAACCACGTAGTCAGACAGGTCAGAAAAGCAGCTGAGCTCATGCTAATTCCCTCAGTCAGCTAAACACCTCGGCTAGCCCCGGTTTGTTTTTCAACTCCAGACTAGACTGATCACAGACTAAAATTAAAATGCAATAGAAACCAGCTTTTAGATTTCCCCCAAACTGACTTTTGGTTGATTACACATTAGCATGCTTAAAACATGTAAACAGCAGTCTAATGACATTAAAACATATAATAATCTGATTTTTTTAAATTATAACTGTAATGATAAAATAACAGTGAAAAAAGCTGGGATATAACTGTAAATTATGAAAAAAGCAGTTGATTATGAGCACCAATTTTCACTTAAAAGGCATGTTGTAAACACCTCACTGTGCACCGAGCCAGCTAACACACACTCCTTAATCCTCTTTATCCTAACACACTCTCCCACATCCTACAATGTCCTTACCCAGGTATCACTGGGCGTGGTCTTGAGGGAGAGGGGTCCATGGCGTTTGATGAGTGTGAATCCAAAACAACGACAGCAGTAGTCCAACAACATGAATGGCTGCTGCTCTACATGAGAGCATGAAGGCTACATGTGTGTGTTTGTGTGTGTGAGGAAGCATGTTATGGAGGAGGAGGGAGGATTAGAAGAAATGGGATTACTACTAAGAAGAGTACTAAGAGTAAATCCTAAAAAGGGATAAAGGTCAACATACTCCAGTATATCCAAGTGGCACATATACATAAAAGCCCAAAGAAGGAAGTTGAATTTGAAGTTTAATACATAAAGGAAGTGCTATAGACACAGATTTATGATTGGAATATGGTATTAGTCCATTTATTTACCTGTTTTTTACCTTTAGGTAGCTTCCTCATCCCTCCATTATGTTCTGCTGGTTCCTTATTTCACTTTCCTTACTTCCTGTTTTTCTACAATACTCTTTTGTTCTTCTTCAGTTTTCTTCTAAGTTCATCAAGTTTCCTTCCTTCATTTGTATTGCTACTCCTTACAAAACACAACAAGTATGAAGAAGAACAACAATACATGGGTTTGTTAATTGATGGACAGATTAATCAGCAACTCATTTCATAAACTAAGGATTATTTAAATCAAGCTTAATTCAAGCTTTTTAAAACAGGACCTGCCGCTTTTCTTTGTCTTGTTTGATAAGTACGTATCAAAAATAAACCATTTCAATAAGTCACTTGGACTTTGGGAAATTTCTATTTTCCATCACCTTCCAATCAAAACAAGTATTGATAATGTTGATAATTGTTAGTTGCAACCACAGCACGAGTACATTTTTCCCATTGAAATCAACTGACTGAGCTTGAGATAGCAACACTGACAACATACGCCTACAACATGACGTTATCTTTTTATTTCAAATACTTTTTCTTCACCAATGTTTACCTGTGATTCGAACTGGATGTCCAGCTTTGGAAAGATCTGCAAAAAAAAAACATCGAGAGACGAAATGAGTGTAGTCTGGTAGTTCTTAGTATCAACACTAGATGGCAGCATAGCCTCAAATGCACAGGGAGAACTTTATCCACCAATGAAGAGGCAACACCAGAACAAGCAATGATTAAAGCACAGCACTAGCAGATACAAACAAGATACTTCCTTGTTATTAAAATAGATTCAAAAGATGTATTTATCATATGCATAAAAAGCTACAGTTGTTGGTAATTAAATCTTAAGATCTTGCAACAATGCAACACACAATACTGTATACGTAACATAAAAAGAGAAAGACAAAAAAAGTGCAACAAAAACCCAATGGTGCAAATAAGTTGCAGGAAAAGGAAGATGTACAAATATTTAATATAAAGACAAACAGCAACAGTAGAATAAATACTGTATACTGTGGTAAAACCTACATTTTAAAAAACGTTTTCATTTGAACACACACTACAGATCATCATTAGAATACAGATAACAGAGACAAAAGGGAGAAAGGACCACTGGCTGTGGCGATGGAGAGAGTAATGCAGAAATGACGACAGTTCAACATCTTCAGAAATAACCCGAGAAGAAAACTCTTCATTCAACTCTTCAGCGTCACCGCCTGCGTAAGTCTGTGTGTTTGTGGTAAAGCACATGCACATGGGCCTTTGTGTAAGAATGGGGTTGACTTGGCTGCCAGGGTAACCTGCATCATTGTAACCATAGTGATAGAGAGCAGAGGGTGTTGGGAGGGGGGCGCATGTAAAGCAAGGTAGGCGTCATACCTATTCATCCCTGTGTGTGTGTGTGTGTGTGTGTGTGTGTGTGTGTGTGTGTGTGTGTGTGTGTGTGTGTGTGTGTGTGTGTGTGTGTGTGTGTGTGTGTGTGTGTGTGTGTGTAAACTTTATTACTGTAAGGCTTTGTTTTTTTATATTAATAGATGTTTGTTCTGACTCAAAAATAGGACTGATATAATTGCATGTATGATTCATTTGTGTTTTTGATTAAAAGTCTTTAATTATCCTGCAATGTGTTGCATTTGTTTAGCTCTACAGTGTTGTTCCTTGCTTTGTGGAAGTGCTGTGATGAAGACATTCATCACAAATCAGCTTCATCAGCTGGGATCAAAGGAATTGTTTAAAATGTGTTCTCATAAAAGGGGACACATGCTCATTTTCAGGTTCATATTTGTATTTTTTGCCTCTACTGTGACTGTTTTTTATGATTTAATGTTCAAAAAGCTCTTCTGTCTGAAACCAGAGCCCGGTCTGCTCTGATTGGTTAGCTGGCCGGCTCTGTTGTGATTGGTCAACCGCTTAGAGATGATGCACAAAAACCTATATAACAATTTACAGGAAACGGAAACCCCCAATTTTTTTTATTTAAATAAGGATAAAGAACAGTTTCCCCAAAATTACTAACATTTCAGAGGATGTTTGCCTTTAAATGTGAAGTTCAGATCGGTGATCCAAAAATGTGATAGTTTAAAACGCACCTAAATCCTTAAAGCTTTTCCCCAGCCCAATACAGAGGGAAGTGGTTAGATACAGAACAGTGGGACGTTTAAAGGCAATGTAGAAGGATTTCAAGGCACTTGTGAATTATTAAACCCATACTAAACCTCAAACAGGCCTTTTTTTAAAGGAGCATATATCATATCAAGCATGAGGAGTTATGGGAAATGGCACTACCAGAGACATTTTAACAGCATGCTCCTGGGCTAGAGGGAGTGTTTACACCCCATGAGTGAGTTTAAACAGTATGTGTCGTATCCACAGCAGCAGGGAAACCAACACAATGTTTGCATGCTCTTCTCCTGATCTGTTTTTGAACTATTTTGAAAATCAATTGGACACACATTATGCTCATGGGAACACTGAGGCTCATTGATCTACATGTCGACATGTGCGTCTAAGAATGGAGAGGCTCCAATCCATCAGTCAGCCTGTGTGTGTGTGCAGGGAACAAATATTGACGTCACACAAACGCAAAGTTTGACGCATCATAATACTCAGCGTTCACTAGGAGGAAAGGGAGGCTGGTTTGCTTGACAACTTGGAGAAAGAAAAAGAAAGACAGAAAAGAAAGAAAGGAAATAAATAATAAAAAAAAAGACAAACATTTTTGCCTCCTTGCTGTATGCCATCTAGTCAAAACTTAGTTATTTATTCAATTAGAGATTGTATCTAAGTGTCCTTATAAGCAAATAAATTATTGAGATGGCACAAAACGGCAACGTTTTGTGAGGTCACATTGACCTTGACCTTTCACCCCTAAAATACTTGAGTCCAAGAGAACCAAATTCAATCCTTTAAAGCAATCATAAGATATCTCTTTCACGAGAATGGGACGGATGTACCTACAAACATGGGGGTGGCATAACAAGTAATTTATGATAAAGACATCCCCTTGAGTTTTGAGGTTATGTGATGGACATGTACAAATAAACACAGCTTTTGTCTGACGATTTTAAGAACAAATTATGAATGAGGGATGATGAAAAATAGAGCGTTTTGCGGAGCCAATCCATTTCTCTATTTGTCCCACCTTCTTACAAGTAGTCATTACATGTTTCTGTTAGCTTTCACAAGCCTCACTCACTGTCAATCATACTTTGATCCATTGAAATATTCTCATTACAATTATATAAATGTTCAAAAATCAGATTCCTACATCTTCCCTTTGCCTGGTCTAATCCCCATCCCCTGTCCTCCTTAACTTTCCAAAGAATCAAATGTTCCTTTAATTATCGAGCTACAATAAGTATGGGCCAACTCAAAAAGTAAACTCTGTAAATCCCATAAGCCCAAAAAGGCCTGTAAACAACAAATGGCATACTGTAGTGAACAAAGTAGGGCGCGTTGTTTTTCCTCTCCTTATTCTACTACACTCTCTCCACATTACTGCCCCCCTCGTGCTCCTGTTGTTTATCGCTGCCCATCGACAGAAACAGTGTTTTCATTTCGATCTATGATGGAATGTAAATACAGTAACTCCTGACTGACTTCTGCACCGGGGACTCCAACCCTGAATCAATTTAGTTTTAGTTTTGGAGTATGTTTATATCAAAAAGAAGCAAAAGAAGAATGCTTGAGGAGCCCAATAGGTGTATTTTTAGTGTGTGTGTTTAGTGTGTGAGACAGGTTGTTATAATTAGAGTAAAGGTTAGAGTTCGGGTCATACGTCTTGCGGTTTAACGTCGAGAATGACACCCGAGGACCAACACCATGATGATTGTGAACAAATGTGTGCAGCTGTACCACTCTGCCCTCTGGGTTTCTAAAATGTATTTCTGGCAAACGTAATCTCTGCCATCTGAACAAATAATGGTCTTTCTGTGTGTGTGTGTGTGTGTGTGTGTGTGTGTGTGTGTGTGTGTGTGTGTGTGTGTGTGAGTCTGCATTTCTTTCTCTCTCAACCACACTTTATAATGTGCCCAAAATGTGCTGTCTTACATTCCCCTCACCTCTCCCCAGCTAGTATATTTTCATTGAATCAGCTCCAGCATGTAAATACAGGAAATGACACGCATGCCAACATCTGCAACATTTTTGCACGCCCCCCTCTCTCTCTTGTGTTTCAGAGACGAGACAGAACAGCTTAAAAATGTTGAACAAAAGCCTCCCGCTCTGTGTGTGTTGATAATGTCTAACCTCTGGGCATTTCATATCTCGCATGAACACACTCAGTTGTCAGACACTCAAAACACATTTTCTTTAAATTATAGCTGCAGGAAATTCCTCTGTTTTCGTGAGCTTTGCATACTGATTCTGTACTACTGCTCCCACATACAGTACATGCATATAACATCACAAGCTGGTCCTTTCCCCTCCCCGCTGAGCACCACCTCTTCTGTGTTTCCTTAAACCAGTCCTCCCCTTATCGTCTGCGCCCTGCACATGCAAGAAACGCGTGGCACAGTGCCTTGTTTCCCTCCATAAAATACACACACGCATTCACAGCACGCAAAAACCAGCCAACCTCGTCTCTCCCTCGCTCGCTCTCTTTCTCCCCCCTCTCTCTCTTTTACACGCGTCTCAGTGAAAGCCTCTCACATTCCCTCGAGCAGCGCGCTTTAAAGGAATTGGATGAAGCTGCCGCGTCTCTCTCTCTCTCCGGCTCAGAGGAATAAAAACACTCCAGTTTCCTCTACTCAACTATTTTCTTCAAACGCAACAACTTGCAGATGAGATTTTCTGAAAATAGTCGATCTCTTTCCCTCTCTTTATACTCGTTTTTGGACGCGAATATCGGGAAAGCACGAGTTTTACGCGTAAAAGCCAGAAAAGGACTTCACATCAGCAGCTTTTGGATTCATTTCGCCAAAATTAAACATTGGATATTTTTTCTCTATGGGAATTAAAAAATGAGCTTTTACGACTTTAAAATCGGGGGAATGTTTTTTTCCCTCGAGTCGTAATAAGGAGCGTAGGCTACTCGTTGAGCACACGTTTTCTCCGCGTCAACAGCGAAGACTCTTTGAAAGCTCCCAAACCGAATTGGACTGAATTTTCTCCGGCATGGCATTTCAGTGGAAGTAGCTTTCAAAGTGGAAGATGGCTTTGTCCTCCCCTCAGGTTCCAGCCTAATCCCCCCTCCGTGCCTAATGGCACAGTGACACACTCAGCTGTTAGCAAAGGTAAGAACTGAACTGAGTTTGACTTCCAAAACTATCAAACACTCCACACTGACAGCCCTACACTCCATCTTTGTATTTCCATCCATATTTAATGAAATGTTGTTAAATATTTGATGAATGAGGAAGTTCAACATCAGATAGTATCTGTCTGTAGTTGTTGATGTTTAAAGCTTTAATTGCATCTAAAATAGTTCAGCATATTAAAAGCTCATGTGAGGATTTTTATTGTGGGCTTTAATTCATTGAAGCAAGGTTGAGATGATTTAAAAAAAAAAATACTATTTAACTTCAAAGTAGCCCAAAATGCTGATATGTCAATATTTCTGTCCTTAAAGATAGTTTAAAGGTCATCTTTAAAGTGTAAAAAGTATATTTTGCTGCACCCTCCACACTTTTTTAAGACTTTTCTCTCTGGTTAGAGGATGACTTTGTGTTTCATGTTTTTCTCATGAAAAGAGTTTAAACAATTGTGAAATTACTTTGTCTTTCTCCGTCACCAACACATCCAGAAACTGATGGGAACAATATGTCTCTTACATTACTGTGGTACATTTTACAAGTACCTTTTTAGTGTTTCCCCATCACAGTGTACACTTCTGATTGAAACATGTTTGGCGTGGTGTCACAAAATCCTGCTTGTAGGTATGCTCAGATTTAAGGTGATCGTAGTAAACATAGGTGTCACATACAGCGTGCTGCAGAGTGGAAGAGTCAAACATCAAACAAGTAACAAAGAGATAAGACAGACTGGAGGGAGGCTCTGCTTTTATTCTCCTCAGTGTGATTTATATGTGGGTGAATTAGGAGTAACGGTCTCCTGAGAGTTTTTTGAGGAACGAGGCTCTTTGGGAGGCATCTATCTCTGCCAAACACTTCACGCAGAAATACTGGTTTAATTTGAGAAACATTAAGAAGTCAGGCGACATAACAGCTAATCCACCATCACATATATCAAGCAAGTGGATAATCCTGTTTGAATACCCCTCAGGAGGGCTCCTTTAATTTGTCACCCCAAAGACCACCTGATAGTAGGGATATTTTTCTCAGCTGTTTTTTGTAGCTAGTCCAATTCCTGTGGGAAAAATCCTTATTACATGTTATCATATTTGGCAAACTTTAACATGTTTGGACATTTTAGTTTTATCTTTAGTATTTGAGTTTAGTTTTACTTAGTTTAAAACACTTCAGTCAATCTATTCTAGCCAAAATATCACAATAGCCCTTTTGCTGTCATTGTTATTATTATTAACTTATGTAAGTTACCCCTAGTTCTCCTGACTCTGCTCACTGTGCTGTAGCCCCGAACTGCTGAATAAAATAAAATGTCTTTACTGCTTCAAATCACAAAATATAAACATTTTATACAATATTTATTCTCTTCTTTTCTTGTAAACAATGCTATGAATGAGCCGTCTTGTTTTGGTCAGTGGTAAAAAGATTGTAGTCATATTTGTTACCTATGAAATGAAAACTCCCTGATAATAAGAGTTCATCTATGAGACCCCCATCTGAGAAATATTTTTGTGGTTTATCTAACTTAAAACATTTCCGCCGAGAATACTCTGATGGAAGAACAGCGCAATTCTTGGAATTATTTTGTAATCTTCGGAGATTGGGCCTCCCCCACAAAAAGTCCCAGAGACTCGCACCTCAGGATGAGTGTGGGTCACTGACTTAAAACTGGGAATGTGAAGGGAAACAGTGAGTCATTTGGCTAGAATCAACAGGGGATAATTCCAGTGCACACACACACACACACACACACACACACACACACACACACACACACACACACACACACACACACACACACACACACACACACACACACACACACCTGGCAATAGCATCTGTTGATTCAATTCAAAACTTAATTGAATTGAGTAGAGCTGGATTAATTACAGGAGGCAATGCCACTGATTCAGTGTGAAGGATGCGAGATTTGAATTAACCAAAACACTATGTATCATCAGAAATAATGAGGAAATAAAAAACAAACAAGATGGTGAAGAGGGTGCAGGATTTGACACTTGAGTGCTTGCTTCAGAAAATGTGCCGCTTAAAGGTCAGCGAGAAAACCCAAAGTGAAATATTCTCCAGACAGATGACTCACTGTTGACCATGTGAGTCTGTAGGAGTGAAGTAATGCACCAACACACGCTATCTGTTAATCTTTTACTCTCTCCTCTGAGACATAATTTTCCTTTTTCTTGTTTCCTGTGTGATTTGGAGATCAAGTAAAATGGAGATTAAACATTTTTTCAATCCCAAAAACAGGCTTCAGTGAGTGAACTGTATCAGGCTCAGGCAGAGGTCTGATATTGCTCAGCCAAAACAAAGCATAAAGATATTAATTTTTAACTCTAGACGATATTGTGACGCTACAAAACAAGATGGTGAACATTGTATACTTATACATTGTATACACTGTATAATATGTTAGCTGCAATGTCAAAGCAGAAAAAGAGAGTAGAAAAAAAAACATTTTATCATGATATATCACAAAAGGCCACAGGTGTTTTCACTTTGGTCTGATTAGCCAATCAGAACTGTGTGTTTGAGTGTGTGAGTGTGTGTTAGCTGACAACTTCCACATTTTCCTATGCTGTTTTGCACTCGTTACGTAGATATCAAGCAAGCATCTACATGTGGCTGCTAAATCAGCTGAAGTCCATCATGTGAACGCAATGAAATCAAACAGAGTAACTGAAAACAGCAGCTTTTTCCATGTTTCAAGTAGTAGACTGTAGTTTCCAATAATACCAGGTTTAACTATAAAACCTATTTTTATCTGTAATGCTACTTTAATGGGGCCCTATTATACACATTTTGAGATTCAGATTTGTATTTGCGTCCATGCTTTAGTGTTCAAAAATGTCTGGTATGAAACCAAAGCCAAGTCGGCTCTGATTGGTTAGCTGGCTCTGTCATTATTGCTCAACCGCTTAGAGATGTCCCACCCCTTGGTTAATCACATACAATGTGTTAGAGCGCTAGCAATTGTTACATAGTGATGTCACTATGATTCGGGAGTTAACAAAGGAATCGAGGTGTTTCAAGCGAGTGTGTGGTAGAAAAAAACTCCCTTTGGATGGAACTTTGGGATTTTAACGCTTACAGACCATTTACATACACCAAAGATAAATAACACACTACAGGAAAGGGGAAACCCAAAAAGCATAATAAGGCCCCTCTAAATTAGCAAGAACTTTTTATTTTTATTTGATTAAACACTAAATACACAAACAAATTAACTTAACACACAACAATTTGATGTGTCTAATATATAATATCAAAAGTTGTGGCCTGATGAACAAAATTATTGAAATAAGAAATCAATACCTTGGCACAGGCTGAAAAACAACACTGCAAACTCCTGGGTTCAATCCAAGATGGTGGTTCCTCCTCATATATTTCCAGTTGTTTATAGGCGCACACTGGTTATGTCCTTTGCCTATTTCAAAGCAAACAGTGAATAACAACTAGGGATCAACAGTTACATATGTGTTGGGAACATCCAACCATAACACATCAGTTCCTGCTGGAGGGTAAATTAAGTGTGGTAAGCTTTGTGTCACATCACATCTCCCTGTGACGCCTTTCCTCTCACATACTGTGAAGCAGAAAACCTGGTCTTTGAAGGATCATAGTCTTTCATGTGGCGGTCCATTATTTACTACAATTCCTGTTTCACTTTAGGTTTGTAGTAACCATTTTACAATTCCACGCTTGAATTTGAATGGCCAGTCTCTAGGCAGCTTTTGGTTTGAGTTTATATTAATTCAACAGCAAATCTAGTGAAATGAAAACTTCCTGCGACCATCCCTCACAGGACATTTTTTTTGTAGTTGTGTAATTTCATAACGTTGAGTTTTAACTACTCCTCCATTAGTGTTAAATTAAGCTGTGGGTGTATTCTGATCAATACAGTATATCGATATTATATCAGTATCGTGATAAAGGACTGAATATTGGATACTGTAACATGCCATTAGCGTTGTCTTTTCCTAGTTGAATGGGCTACAGTACAGTAAAGTGAATGCGTATATATTTTTGACATGTAAAACCCTACAAAATCGCAGCATTATCAATATCAGGGTATTTGGTGGTATGTGTTATTTCACTTTTTGATAACAGTTATTCAACTCTGCTGCCAAAAAGCATCCCATTTGCCAGCTTATTTGACTAAAAATTCAAACCTGGCAGGCCCAAAAAGGCAACATGGACATTATAAAAGGGATCACATGAACCTGTTCCATTATATCCCTAAGCTGATTGTAACCGCATTTCCTCCCGGCACCCATTAGTGAAAGTAATTAATGTAATATAAAGTGTACACAATTTGTAGTTAATGGGCTTAAACATGAACAACGGTATAATCCTTTAACAAAGGCATAGAACGAGTGTCCTTCAAAAGTTAGATCACCATCCTATCCTATACAAGAATTTACTTTTCTATCATTAATTTCACTTAACTTAAGATGAAGTTGTCCAGCTTGGTTTCAAGATTTGACTTGCATACAGGGGAAATAAATGACATTTTACATAATGTATTCTCATACAAAAAATCAGTCTATGAAAATGCTCTATCAACCTGATTCCATTAAAAATGATTGTGATCGAAAGTGGCGTAGGTGTTCATGCAAATCAAGTACTTAAGTGTGACCGTGGCATTACAATGCTTGACAGTCTCTTCAGAATTTCAAGTTGAAAGCAGTGTCAAGAGGAGGTTGTACAAAGATTGGATATTGTTCCCTATATTTTCGCTCTTACTCAGGCAGTCTTTGCAAAAACTGATGAAAGTTCTGTTGTCGAATTTGGTAAATACTGTAGTCGTGTTGTCTTCAGAGAAGCCATCCTGTTTGACTCTTAGCTCCATGATATCATGGCGGGTGACCTTAACAGCAGCAGCAGGGGAGGTGGGCTGTTGTCTCTGTCACTACCTGATCTGCAGCCCTGCCCTATCTGCAGTGCGCATGTGCGAGATGGTCCGCCATATTTGACAACTACATACGGCAACCCAAGTAGGACACTTGACACAGTGGCTTTTGGCAAAGCACAAAAAGAAAACTCGAGAGATGAGTAATTGTTATTACAACGTGACTTCACTATTATTTAACAACTCTTTTTATTGGGTTCTTTTATTTGGGGTTAAGTACATTATCAGAATAAGTGATAAATGAATCTAACTTCTGTTAGACAGCTATCTACTGAATAAATATTTACTGTGAATGTATGCAAAAATGTATNGTACTACAAGTAAAAAAAAAAAAGCCCATCCCTGATCTACATGTTCCCTATATGTTTTATATTTAGCTTTTTGTTCCACATCTGTTTCTGCTTTGCTGCACCTCTGATGTAGATTTAAATTACCAGACCAGTTGTTTTTTGTTTACTTTTCATGATTACATCCCATTGTAAACACTTGGGATGAACGCGGCTTATTTCCCCTGTAGATTTTCTTGTTACCGTGGTAACAAATGCTGCTTAATTATAATTGAACAAACATGTGAGGCGAATGTCTCAGGAAGCTATAGGCATTGCAGCTTTCAATATAAGGACCTCTCTGTTAACATTTAGAGGCACTTATGGTTGTGTGTGTGTGTGTGTGTGTGTGTGTGTGTGTGTGTGTGTGTGTGTGTGTGTGTGTGTGTGTGTGTGTGTGTGTGTGTGTGTGTGTGTGTGTGTGTGTGCACATACATTATGGGAGACACGAGGAGACTGATGCTTCTCTCTATGTCTGCCACCCTCACTGTTAATGCTGATTGAGACAATTTCGATCTTGTCTCGTCCTCTCACTCCCTCTGCCTTTCTCAGCGCAAAGTAAAACCTGGCCTCAGCTATAACTCTGTGCTACATTAAATCACACATTCATTATTTATATTTCCACACGGATCGGAGACATTATCGTCACACTCTGATCAAGTTATATTAAACATCCCTCTGATCTTTGTAAGAAAATAACTATTCTGTATTTGGGACGTGGCCTGCTTGCCTCGCATTCTTATTCTGTTGAAGAAGAGGGCTACACAAACTATAACATATTTAAAATCATGTTCCTTATTTGCTTCTTGCTTCAACAGCGGAGCAAAAAGCCAATGCTTTCACACGTTCTGCTATCCAAACACATTATTTTGTAGCTGTGATTTAGTATTTTACATCACTGACATACTGTATGCTGATCATAATCATGAAAATAGCATTATTTATAGAGGTTAAAATCTAGTGAACAGCCGGATCTAAAGAAGCTAGGACAATATTCTGGCATGACGTGAATCATCGTACAGTCGAGTAATGATGTGAATCACACAGAGAGATCCCTGAGTCATGCTTTTCTTTCCTAAAACACATGGATCCAGTTGGGTCTAAGGAGCAGTGCAGCCTCTAGGAGTCCGCCTAAGGATTTTTACACTAGTCCTGTTTAAATAATGCCCATTTCACATATCTGGCACATAACATTTGATCTAGATAACTAGTTACAAAATCAGATACCATGTGTCCTACCAGTCAAATTCAGGCCACAAGAGAACACTACAGGTGTTAGCTTGTAAAATGGAAAATAATTTACTGGAAATGTGCAAAACATAGTAAGCCATTCTTGTTTCTTATGATGATCTCTTTACAAAAAAATATACATGAAACCAAAAATGTTATCTTCCTTGTCGTCAGACTTGAAATGCATTGTTCAGTTTCTGCAGATTTCTGTTGGCACCTTTCACCATCTATGTTCTGTTGACTGCGAAAGGACAACATATTTTATTTTATCGCCAGGCCTAGTGTGTGTAAGTTAAACCCAATTTATACACCTTTAAACCATCACTACCAGCTTGTAATGTTCACACAAGCATGGTGGAGTCATAGATTCTTATTTTTGCCAATTTCTCATCCCACTACCCGCGTGTTAGAACTGAAACCAAGATTGTGTGTTTGTTGTTTGGTTTTTCTTGGTATTAGCTTATCTGGCTTTGGTCTTCTTCATCCATCTGCTTCAACATGTGAAGAGTTATTTGTTCTGATGGACTGCTCCACGTCATGTTTTCTACTAAGTGGGTTTGTTTACAGACATGTTCCCCCACCTGTTGGGTGGAGGACATCTTGCCATACTAACTGTGGTTTTTCGGCCTCTTTTCATGTTCGATGGTGAAAACCAGGTTTCGTAGAGTGCAAATTGTTCTCAGTTGTGCGTGACTTCAACAGTTCTTTTTTTTGTACTTTAATATATTGTACAAACCTGTGACATATTGAAGGAGAAACCAGAATGATGCTTCCATATAAAGCAAACAGGGGGACTGGTTTGAGTGTAGCAATGAAATGAATCATCAGATCTCAACCCAATGAAATGCCTCTAGACAGATGGCTCCATCATCCACTGTGATCAGGGAATATTTCCTCCAAGAATGGTGTTTCAGAGACTTGAACGATCTTATAGCTAGCCTCAAAGCAACTTTGGTCGAATTTTTGTTTAATACTTGAAACATGACACATTCAAAGTCATTTAATCCATCATACCTTTTTTACATAGTTGTAAAGTGAATAAACTCTTTGACCAATACAGTGGCAAGTGATATACTTTAAAAGCCAAATAATTAATGATAAATAGCCACTAACTTTTGTAACTTCAGAATAACTTGGTCACAGAGACAACTCATTTAAAGACTTTTATGCACTAACCAGGATCTAGCTCAATTTGAATCAGAAGATAATCACGGTTGCTGAGCTGTTTGGTGACTGTCAATCAAATCTGACCAAACTAAGCCCAAACAGTCCTAATGATGCCAATTAATGTGTAATTAATTACTCATCGAGCAGACATGGAGTGATGAAGCATCCATTTTGAGTCAATCTTCTGTCCAAGTTTGTCTAAGACTGTTCCCTCTTCTGCAGTCAGAGGTGTTGATGCTGCATCAATGACAAAAAAGAGAGACAGAGAAGTTTATTCCCTCAGGCCCTCCGTGTCTTTCTTTCATCTTTCACTTATTTCATAATATTGATCAGCGCAGCTTTACAGCTATAACTTTAACCATTTGTGTCCAACTAGTCCTTTAACTTCAATCATATAAAAGAGCACTTTGAAAATGTGTGTGTGTGTATCTCTGCTATTGCCAATCAATAACACAGCTTTTAAACAAGATAGATGAATGATGAGCCAATTAAGCCGGTCAAAGCCAGAATAGAGGAGGGAGTAATAGCTGGAGAGGTGTGACGAAGGTAACTTTTTTCACTGTGGACTGACGGCTTCAGGCCTTGTAACATTGCACATGTGGTTTGGTTTGGGGGTGTTCCCCAAACCCGTTTTGTCTGTTGCTCCTGATTGTGTTCACCTGGTGCCCTGTGTTGTCTCTTCCCCCCTCACCTGTGTCTAATTGCTCCCCCGCCA